AAAAAAAAAAAACTAGCAAGTGACAGTGCAGTCATTTAGGCAAGATGCTATGGACTCTGAGATTGTGGGCACGAAATTTCGCATGCCTAGAGTTTGGGGAAGAATAGAGGCAACATCTGCCTGGTTGTAGTGCTTCTCCTGGTTCAATGCGTAGATTTCCTTCAGTGTTAATATTATGTTAGTGTTTTTTTTGCTTAATTAGGAATATTATCGTATAATTAGTAATATTACTGTCTCATTAGTGTTATTACTACAGATATTGCTTATACTCGTGTAGTTTTCTCTGCTGCTGTCGGGGAGGTAGAGGCTTATCAAGCAACGTGCCACTTCTTTTTTTATTTTTCTTTCTCCCCTTTAATAATTAAAAAATGCTTAGCCATGTGCGCGTCCCAAGAACAACGGCACTCGCAGACCTTCTCATTAGTAGTGCCCGAATTCTCGGAGAAAATGCGGCGCCAAATCCAAATTCAATTGTGTTTTTCGTTGGACACGTTGTCCCTTCCAAATCCTTGAATTTCTCCCCGGTTGCCAGTTGCCTGGTTAACACAGACTCACAGGAACATGATATCAGATGCGACCCTGCCAAACACTGGGTGCAACACCCAGTGCTGGATGTTGCACCCAGCCACCAATTTTTTTTTTTTTATCAGAGCTTGATTTTTTTTTGTTGAATCCTTTTGGGTTTAATGATCAGGCGACTTTCTTGTGATCAGACGTGTTCACTAAAGAACGCGGCGTGAAACAGCAAGTCAGCGAGACTGCGCGCGCGTGTGGCAGAAGGCACACGCCTAGCCTCGCTGACTTGACTGTTTCACGCCGCGATAAGCCGCTGATCTACCGGCCGGTCGGCGTTCGCGCGATATTCTTAAACCATCTGGAGACTGTACGCGAAAGAAAGATAGAAACACAGATAAATAATGTTATCGTTAAATTAAAATAGCTACTCAAAGATTCGAGACAAGAGATATCGCCTCCCTGTAGACCCCTTTCAAAATACGGTACTCTGTTGGCAGCTGTGAAATCCCTGTACAATGGCGGACCTCAGCGTCACGGCACACTGGAAAAAACACACCCATAGAAAAAGGTGATGATCGCAGTGACGTTGCACTTTCGACGCTGTTTGATTGGCTCGTCGGCTCGGAACGTTGGCCGCGCTCCGGCGTTCGCTATCTTAATGGAATGACTTGCACGTTTCTCGATGCGGTCGCTCCGCTATTGTGCAGTGGTTCTGACCGTCTAATAATCAACACGTGACTTTTGAAAGGGGTCTATAGTCATAACTTGAATTATCGGTCTGATCGTGATTGTTGGTGTAATTAATTGCCTGCAACCACTTGTTGAAACGCGAGTCGCGTTTCGTGTTCTACATACCGCGTGCCAAACAAGAGGAGATAAAATGATGTATGCACAACCTACATTCGATATCTTGAAAGCTAAAATTATGAGAACTTGCAAGGAGTGAAATTATGAAGGCGAGCTGGTTGGGAAACGTGCTTTTAGACTATGACGCATGATTGTTTCTCGAGGAATTTGATTCTCATTTAACGCATTATTTGGTCAAGGCTACATGCAACATTGGGCAGGGTAGTTAAACATGTATCAATTCATTTGACTGAAATCGTCGAAACCTATAGGTGTTGGAGACCATAGTGACTTGAGAATCATCTGTATATCTGCGGTGTCTAGTCAAACGGACCCATTTCACCTCTTGCTTCCTGTTGTACCCTATCACTGTCGTCTCTCTCGACACGATACATTATTTGCAGGCGACATCATTAGGAAGAAGTGGGCTATGCTCAGGGTAATGACAAGAGAAGTATTAAAAATCGCGAAATAATTGGTTGTATAAAGGTATACTCACTGAATAATAAAAAAGTACGTAGAATTAGAATTAATACGCTGCATGTAAATATGTCAGAATATGTCAGATTTCCTGAGTCCTTTGGATCTGATTTTAAGGGTTTATTTCTTTATGAATTTATTTCGGTTCATTAAAAACCCGGCGGAGGGGGGGGGGGGGGGGGGGGGCTCGGGGTATTGCGTAAGAAAGTGGCGTAGTTAAATAACGAGGTTAACATCTCACCAAATGAGTCAGTCTTGTGTTGAAGCGATGGCTTAAGCAGGCCGTTGCAGTCTCCAGATATATCGCCGAAAACAAAGCAAAAACATCAAAACGTATAGAACGTTTTACGGAAGAATATTACGAGAGCAATAAATCAGAAAGTTAATTTGGAGCACTCTAAAGCAGCAACCTTCGCGGGTAGGTAATTGGCACTAATATTGGAAAGCATGAGGAAGCTACCAAGGAACGTTAGTCTGGCAAAACTGACTTGGCTTTCGGTTTACGGACGATAAAAAATGACAGGCGCGGTGTGCGATCTCGCACTTAGTAAAGTAGACCAATTAACGTACACGGAAACAAGCGTATTAGCTCGAACTACCTCGTGACATAAGGTTAACTTGATTCTAAAAATACAAAACAAAAGAAAAACAACAGGTTCGGCACACCATGAAAACATTTCGCTAAGCCCCATTATAATTTTGTGCCGTCACACACTCACAATCAAGGTGCCTATATGATAGAGGCGATCTCGAGGAAGGAGTAACAGAATGTTAAAGTGCTCTGCATTCAATTGGCAAGATAACCCAGGAAGTCCAACGCGAACCTTCTATTTTGGAAGTGGACACCAACCTATTGAAAATAGACCGCTTGGCTCTGTGCATTCTGTTTTTGCGCACCCTTGTCCTTCCCTTCGGCGAGGATCAGTTCCAAAAGTCAACAAACCCGTTCGTCGAGATCAGACGCCCGGATAGCAGGAAAGCGTAACGACGCTTTCTATGCCAAGTTCGTCCGCCTAGCAGTGAATATCAACAACCCAGCTAGTGGTACAGGCTGAGTTTATGAGCGGGAAATTAACAACAAAACATCGGTCCGAGTTGGGGCGACAAGAAGGATATACCACTTTGTAAAGTTTGCCTCCGAGTTGAGTGAGCGTCTTTTTGCCGTGTACGTAGCGTGCATTCCGCCGATAGAAGAAGCAGTCGTAGCGAAGAAGGCACCTTCCTTCTTCCTGAGCACAATAAAAGCGTACTCCGAAGAGCTCGCGAGGTGGCTGCATGGGGCACGCCTGAGAACGGGAACATTACTAGAGCCGGGGCGGTGGATATTCTTAGATGTATATAAGGCCCGGCTGGATACCTCCGCCGAGTTAGTTCCCCCCGAATGATCCCACCATGAAGATCCCGGTAGGTGCAGCTTATTATGCATTTGCTCACTCCATTCATTCTTGAGTTCTGCTCTAGATTGTTGAAGCGTCAAAAAATACTAAATTGATTAACGCTGGTACCAATACTGTTTGGGGAAACATACTAACACAGAACAAGAAGACTGAGATGTAAAGTTTACCGAATATAGCAAGAATTTTGTTTACGACTGGGAAAGTGAAACCGACGTATAATTTGTTTAATATCCATCCTATACCTATCTGCCAATTTTTACCCAGCTATTGAATATCTACTTGGACAGATTAAAAGAGGAATATTGAGATGGCTGTTTTACCCGACCGCTAATTTGCTGTTGGGTCTGTTTTCTTCTTACCGTGCCGTGTCGTGATGGATAATAAGAAACAAATTTTTATTAGTCTTCCTTTCAGGTACGTATTAGTTGACATATAAAACAATATTGTAGGTAGTGTGCTTGAGTGCGATTATTATTATTTCTGAGCACATCTGGGTTTCCTTTTCATGGACGTGACAAAAGGTAAGACTAGCTCTACTGCTTTTGTTTTGTATAATTATTTAAAACTGAAAGTTATCCCGAAATTGCAGGCTGACCAAGTACTAATAGTATACCGCACACGAGCACTAATAGCACACTAAGCGACACCGTACAAGCGTCATCTCGACATCAGGATCTTTTTTTTTTTACACTTAAAGCATGCGGTTACTTGAACGCGGTACTGACCCCATAGTTTCAATATGACGCGGCTGCTGTATCAGAGGACAGACGATTTAACATTGTATTGATCAATATTAACAGGAAACATAGATAGACATGGACACGAGGAAAAGATATAAATCAACTGAATGCCGAGAAATGGTCACTAGGTTTAGCGAACGGACCAACGTGAGTATTTCAGCGGCCTTTCCTTCTTCCGCGACAAGGTTGTAGCAAGTGACGCATATAGGAAACATTTTCCTGCTATCGTCTTTTTTTACAATCAGATATGATTATTTCCTCCTAGGCTGATCTCTCCTGCCTGGTGTAAAACTTATGTGCTCGCACTTATGCCAGCGACAAAACTGCGCAGCAATCGCAAATCTGTTTGCAGTATACGGCGTGGAAACCCAGCGCAGTATGTCCCCGCGTTGGTCCCACGCGCGTACCGAATCCGCCAGGAATACGACAGTTTAACCGCGCGGCTAGCTTCAAACTTTGTCTCTAAGCCACAGACACGAACTAGGGCAGTCATCGCCCCAGCGGTGAGGCTGTCCTTGCGCACAAAATTACAATATTTTCCTCATGCTGGACATCCGCAACAGTAAACCTCCCCGCTGGTCGCTGCTGACAGCATGGTTAAGGTCAACGCCCAGCGGGGAAGGCTAATTCGGGACCTAAGCTCTTCTCATTAACACTAAAACAGGTGGTATTGATACTGTGGCCCTAACATTACCCCCCCTCCCCCTCCCCGACCTTTCAATCGGGACTTGGTTACTTAATCAAAACTATTCTTGTTTTTGGAGTCATATAAATTATTCCTTTCCTTGGTAAAGGTAACGATTTTGGGAATAAAGAGAGACTTAAGAATGATACTTCTACAAAATCCTTTTCATTATATCGGGCCTACCTTATTGGGCCCAGGGACATCATTTTGTTGTTTTATGCATCAATTGCAACGCTAAACGACCGCTTAAGCAGAGATCTTGATTCGGAAATTGGATTCAATTTATGGCAGACAAGTGCTTTTACCTGCTCACGATAAGCTGGTGACAATCTGCCCATGCTGCAGACTTGCCTGGCCTTGATCAGCACGTGCTTGGGCTGCGTTTTTGCTGGAGGTTTTGGAGGCTACGGAGGAGGATTTGGAGGGGGCTTCGGAGGAGGCTTTGGAGGAGGCTTTGGAGGAGGTGGATTTGGAGGACTCGGAATTGGCTTGGCCGGCACGTACTTCGGAGGTCCGGGTACAAGCGGATACGTGAAGTCCATCTCCGGTCCAGCGTTCGTGGTCCAGAACACGCATCACATATCAAAGATCCACAGCGGCCAGCCCATCCTGGCCCACAGCGGATTGGGGGGTGGCTACAAAGGCGGCTACGGAGGCGGCTACGGAGGCGGCTATGGTGGTGGCTTTGGAGGCCACGGCTGGTGAAGGCCTTTGGCCGAAAACTTTCAGAAACAGCGCTGATGCGGTAGTGCCCTTTTGCTGTTTTGAGCGGTTAATGCAGTTAAACTGTTGCTTTTGTACCTTGAGTTTTTATGACAGAGTCGTCTGTTCATCTTTTTATATTAGTTTATTTCATCTGACGCAGAAAATGAATTATATTTTTAATAGTTTGGCGACCGCTTACATAGTAATATAAAACAAATTGTCCTTCTATCAGACTTTTTATGGGTGGGGGCACTGGAATTGAATAAATGAAATAGGTATACTGCGATGGACAACGGATAGCGTAGCAGCAATAAACAAGCCGACTGTGAAGTTAGAGAAATGTCCAGTTTCTCCCGTTGGAGCCAGTGATTATATATAAACGCGCTGTTTTTGTACAAAATTCAGTTTTATTCAGAAGACTGAAGCGTGTATGATACCCGATATAATTTTCAAAACGTTGTTTGCGCATGAGGCTGAAGGAGGCGTAAAAGTTGTTTTTGAAAGATTGTAATACAGTAGTTATGGAGCCGTGAAGATGGCCATGTATTTATGTATCTGATCAATATAAAATTATTACCGCAGTTATTTGGGTATTTACAATACTGAACACTAAATAATTTATTTTTGCTCATCACTCTTCGGTTAAAAACAATAAAACGAAATATGCTTTCCCCCCTTATAATTCCAGATACAAAGAGCACCTGGTCATGAAGTACATCTTCGAAATTGGAGCAAGTTTCCCCCTATACCTCTCAAGCTCCTTCATGTTCACTGTTTTGTTGATCGGAATAAAGAACCGTTAGTTAACTAGACCCCCATTGCAATTCAGTTGCATCGAACGGGTTTTTAACATTTGTTCAAAGTCAATATTTTTGTCATCGACGCAAGTCAATAATCTACTACGGCACTGTTCATGGAATTTCCCGGTAGTCGCGTTATACAGGGTGTTTTTCTTTCTTGTAACAGAGTTAAAAAAAAAGAAGTTGGGGACCCTTACGTGGGTGCTGTCTTCACTTAGTGTTTAACAAACTCGGCGGAAGTTAGACACGGCAATATTAATCAAGATTCATCGGCTAATTAACTAAAATAGTTTTATGAACTTTTAAGTGTTGGTTTTATGAGTAATGTTCAAAACGCAGTTTTAAAGCCGAACATTAATAATGGCTACAAAAATTTATACAATTTGCGAAAATGGAACGGTCTGAGGTATTCATCCATAAGTTTTCGCATGTTTGTCGGCAGTTCTAACAGTACGGGCAGAGACGCGTGCCTGCATATTTAGGGTGGGGCGCTCTAAATAATGCGGAGAAGAGTGACTGGCACTTCATCGTTATCTAGGCAGCGACCGGTTGAGGCTTCCAACGATTATGCGTTGCCGAGATAAAAGAGGTAACCGGCACGGATACGTCACTTTTGTGAGGCGCGCTTTGTGAGCGCAATTTTTTAATTCCTGACAAACATTAAAAAAGTAAAAAAAAAAGATATAGGTAATTATCTAAAAGATTATTGCCTTTTCGTAAATTTTTTAAATTGGTCTAACCATTATTAGTAATTGGCGTGTAAATTGGAATTAGAACCTGACTTAGAAAACCAAAACCTAAAAATTTTCATTAAGCAATTTTAGTTAATTAACCAACGGATCGTGATAAATATTGCACCGTCTAACGTCCGCCGATCCCGTTAATACACAGTGAAATCAGCACCCACGTAAGGGTCGCCCACCTTTTTTTAAAAAAAATTGTTACATTACAAAATAAACACCCTCTATACTGTACATACATTTTCATCGCGCTAAAAAATAGAAAATTGATAATAATTAGGAAATTACTAACATCAAGCAGAGGATGTTTTGTGGAAATTAAGGCATTCAAAGTCAACATCATTGAAAGTTCGGACGTGCGCTCAGCATTGTGGCATTGGGCGATACCCTGAATAAAATACTTGCCAACTACGAACAACTGTCAAAGGCCGTGCAGCTTAAACGCGCACCACACTTTTCAAAGTGAAAAAGGATGAATAATCTATATAGCTGCAACCGTACTCGTGACCACACAAAAAAACAAAACTCAAAGCAATTCTAAAAATGTCGTAAATAGGAAATATGCAAATTATTTAATACATTTCTTCCTGATTAGAGCACCGTACGTGAAAGTTGTTGCTTGAGCATAGTACGCGAAAGTCTGCTGCAGGAAAACAGAATGCGTGGCGATCTTTTTTTAATATGAATAATCGGATTAAATATAAATCATCACGAAAATGAAAAAGAAAATGACGGTTTGATTTCAAAGCATTAATTCAGCAAGACAAAAAACACCGAATCTTGCGAAAATCCACGCGCACGATCCCCATTTTTGCAAGTACGTATGCGCCCTAAAACTGTTTTTGGGGCCATACAAGTTCAAACTGTATTATTTCAGGGTGTGTTTTCTTTTTTATTAAAAAGAAACTAAAGCGGTTCTGTATTTGAAACACACACACACACGCACGCACGCGCGCACGCACGCACGCATGTACTACGCACGCACGCACTTGCGCGCACACACACACACGCGTGTGCGTGGACACGCACACACACACACACACACAAAATTAAAGCGTCTTTATTTGACCCGCAGGATTACGAATATCAAAATGATATTTCAGATTGATGCACCAAGTAGTCACAACGACGTTTGCAAAGCATTCGGTGGGTGGAGAGAATCGTGACGTATTATGCAGAGATCTCAACATTTTCACGGCTTCAGCAAGCCTTAGCCGTGCAGTCAAAAACGCTGCACGTGTTCCCACAGAAGCGGCACGCGCAAGGCAGCTGAAACCTCTCGGTATGACGTCACACCCAAAGGTTGGTTTCTCGGTATTTCACGGGTGTATTGGCATGCGTTTGGGTCAAATGCTTGAGATATTCAATTTCACAGGACAAAAATACGCTATATTCCGTTTCAACTTCGGTCCGAGCGCGGCCGATGTTATGAGCCGAAGGGCCAATCAAACAGTGAAACAGGCACAACGTCATGGCGTGCTCTCTGCAGTTGATAGGACCAGCCGACATTCGTCGCGTCTCTGGTGCATGCTCCTCCGCCGGCTAATCCTATCAAGAACAGAGAGCACGCCATGACGCTGCGCTTTTTGCGCTGTTTGATTGGCCCTTTGGCTCATAACATCGGCCGCGCTCGGACAGAAGCTGAAACGAAGTATAGAATTCACCTCTAACTCATTTTTTTTTCAAGAACCTCTTCAGCTTCTCTTTAAATGGTCCGCATAAATTAAATGTGGTAGTACATAACACAGCATAGGCTTATAGGAGAACCCCAAAAGAATACTTTTCTTGCTGCATTCATTGGACAGGCCTTGTCAAAAAAAAAAAATTTAATGCGAGGGTGGCTTTTCTCCTGGCGCATAGGTGATAAAATAACTGAATATGCTAATGTTTGCAAATGTGGTATCATGAAAGTCGCGTATGTAAGAAATGTATCAATGTACTTTCCATGGTGTGTTAACGGATGTGCAAACAAACAAGCGCTGCTAATCTCACTTCAATTTTCCTTTTTCATCGCAGGTTTTCGAGACAGGAGCCACGACGGACACTTAGATATACTTTTACATCGTAACCTGAGAACGATATGGTCACGCCGTGGTTACTGAAAAAGTTCTTACTAAAAACGACAAACATATAGGTACATACATATTCTGGCAAAATGGATGGAGGACGCGATTACAGTATGATAACATGAATATAATGTTAAAAAAAAGTTAAGATGACAGCTTGAGGCTAAACCCCTTTTCATAAGGACATTAATTCGAACCAAAGGTTTCATAGGTGCATCACGGAGAGTGAAAGAACCCTTCATAACAAATTGTGCTGCTCTTGTGATATGGTTGCGTCATTATAACCTCATCGGATTTCACTGAAACCGGTATTCTGCCCATGTTTCGCAAACTTTAAAAATGCACATGTATTTTATCGTACGAAGAAAATAATAAATAACTTTGGTATTGGTAAGCGCGTTTCTCAAGTTGTGATTGCTAATGACACTTAATAGCCTGGTTATATGTAGTCGATTACTCGCCAAATCTTATAAATAAGTTGGGGACGAATAGTCAAATCTGTAAGGTGACTGCTTGTCTACACCAGACACAATTGTCTACAAATACTCCACGACCCTTTCATAACTGGACTAAAGCTTAAGACTAAAAAAAAATTGTGATACAGTTAAAGAGTATAACGAAAAAAAAACCGTTTGAGCTGCAAATAGATGACGATTGAGTTTTCGCGGATACGCTTTGGCAAATAAATGCACGCATCCAGCGTCCCGCGTCAAGCTGCAGAACATTTTACGATACGACCGCTTTGTTGAACACGAATTCGGGTCAATCATAATTTAGACAAAGTGTTACCTGGTTTCTAAAGCTTATTATGAACGCCCTAATACAGTCCTAAGACTCGTGTCGCCACTGATACTGCAACAAAAAAATGGAAATCGCCGAGTGCGAAGGCTGCAGATTTTACTGCGAAGCTGTGTATGACTCGTTGGTCGGGTCTTTTTCGTGTCCGTCGGCAGAACAGTAGTCGACAGAAAACTATCGCGCGCGCCTTATTTCTTATCTTGTGGGTTTGACACATGTTTCAAAAAGAAAAGCACAAAACAAGTGTCAAAACCACGTCATAGATGATACGCACATAACGCTCCCCGCATGCGTTTCGCGGTAAAGCTTTGAGTTGCATAAGCTGCCGCGGCAACGGTAGAGTACGAAGTGTGGAGTGACATCACTAGCCCCGCTAAGAATGCGAAGTACGTAGCGCTCCCCGCATGCGTTTCTCGGTAAAGATTGCGGTTGCATAAGCTGCCGCGGCAACGGCAAAGTACGAAATCTTTCAAATATAAAAAAAAAAAAAAAATTGTGGTAGAATTAATTTACTTTTCTCTTTTCAATCATTTGGTATAGACCCTTTTGCTGTTTACAAACATTAACTGCCGCTTGCGTACCAAGCGATATCCGGT